TTGAGCTAAACAAATTTATTTAAGCTGCTAAAGGCAGTTATCTTAATAAAATAATGTGTTATTAACAATTTTTGACTAGCAAATTTTTAGTTAAATTTTGTGTAAGTGATTGACAGAAAGAGTTAATAATATAATAAATTTTTAATACTAATATATTTCAATTTTAATTAAAAAAAAGTTAAATATTAAGAATACTATTTACTATGTTTCTAAGTATTAGGATAATATTGAAAATTCAGTAATTGTCAATTGTTGGAGGAAGACCAGAATTCTGGTGCCAATTTCTTGTAAAGAAATAGAAGTCACTACTAACAGTTAGAATACATTGTTAGAACATCAAAAACAGAATATTGATATACTGGTAATAGATTTGACCTTTTAAGATCCAGATTCAAAAATAAGAAACCAGCTAAACACATACTTAAATCTTAATGATTTGTATATTATAACTGAGGAGAAACTCAAAGATTCAGAAATTATTAAAATTGTTTTGTATGAAGCAAATCAGTATGAAAATGGAGATTCTGATGACTCAGATGAGGAACAACCAAAAATTTTTATTTCAGAAGAGCTAATGGACTTAAATAAGTTCATTAGTTTTTTTGAACAACAAACTGATGCTAATTTCAAATCTGAAGATCTCAAAATTTTTCGAAAATACTTGATCTTAGTAAATCGAAAATATATTAAATCTAAGCATCAAACATCTATTAGTGATTTTTTTATATCAGTAAATAATAAGGAAGATTATGATGCCGAATTGTGATATGAAATTTTTATACAGATATTTATATAGCTATAAATATTTTATGGCTTGAATTATTTTATCTATATTTATAGTAGTTATTTAGTTATTGTTTTTTTTAAATTCAGGAATAAAGTATTTTGGTATATTAAAATACTGAAAGTTTGAGACTTACTTTAATCAAGCAATTTAATCAAATTCAATATTTTCATGCTAATTACTAAATAATTGAAAATAAAGTATTAAATTCAAGCGAGAAAACCTTATATTATAATGCTAAAAATCTGAGAAAGTTCTTATAGATGGTACAGTAGCTAGAGTTAGTATTAGAGTGTATAGATTTTATTAATGTCAATTAAATACTATTGTCTGTAAAAACTGCTATAGACTTGACATAAGCCAAATCCAAAACAATATAACCTAATATCCATACTCAGGTTAAAAGCCTTATTTGAAACCTTGATTTATCTAAGAAACATAAAAGAATTAGCATAATTAACATTCAACTGCATATAAAGAAAAATAAAAGTTAACCAATTTTGCTGCTATTTTGTCGACATAAATTAGTCTGATATGTGTCAGAATTAGCTCGCTTTATAGTTAACATTGGTTAAAAGTTGTTGATAAAATAGCCGTCAACAAAATGGTTGCCAGGAATTCTATCTGAGCCAATGAAATGAATTCATTTGCACATAGCTTTTTTTTTAACTCATGATTATGCAGTATACAAATCTTGATCTACATTCTTATGCCTTGATTAAGAAAGTTTGGTAGTCTAGTAAAAATAAAGTTATATAGAAAAATACTGTACCAGGTCTAGTATGTGATATGCAATCTAAATATTTGAAAAAAATCAGTTTGATTAATATAGCTTCTACATACTATGTATCATAGGCAATTTATGATAATACATGTTATATCTATTTCTAATAAATTACATTTTTATAATTTGTGCTTATATGGAGATACCTTTTATAAAATTATACTTCTTTATAATCACCTAATTGGTGTGTACCCAACTGTGTGATTATAAGAGAGGATAACTGTAATTAATGTTATTATAATTAATTTACTTTTATTATTATTATTATAATAATTTACTTTATTATTATTATTTTTTTTCAACTTTGGCAGTCTTGCTAGTGATTCTTTATTAAGATTGTCTTGTTACAGACTGTATAAGATACTTTACGCTTAATATCTAGATCTGACATCCTGCAGTTACTTCTAAGAGCATTTACAAGTGACCTGTTACACTAGGCAGATAAATCTATAAAAGACATATTATAGTAAATCCAAAGATCATCTATTTTAAAAAGCTATATTAGACTACTGCCCTACAATAGGATATCGCCAATCTGATAACATCTTCTTATAGAGAAGTGAAAAAAAAGAAAAAAAATTATAATACTAATACTAATACTAAAAAAGAGGAAAGAGAAAGAACGAAAGTAAAAAAATCTAATAGTCACAATTATAAGCCTGTATCAGGCTAACAAAATTATATATTACAAAATAAAGAAGCTTTGTATCTAACTCTATTTTAATAATATATCTAATCTATACTAGAAAAAAAAGAAAATAGTAGATTTAAACTAGACTAGACAGAGTAGTAAAAGAAAAAACACCAATAGTCTCAAAGTATTGTTTAAACAGTTTCTTTCAGTCAAGACATGTCGCCTAATTGTATTGTTCTTCAGATGTGTTCAGTTGTTTAATCTAGACATCTATCGATTTTATGTTTACTAAAAGTAAACAATTTGTTTTAAAAGAGCTAACCCATTTTGGATTAGGTAAACAATACTGACTGTTTTAAAAAATTACATGTTGATCTTTTAGAGAAAGTAAACTGAGACATCTACTTTTTGACAAAATTTTCTCAAAAAAAGTGGTGAGCAACAAAACTTTGTGGGTTCTTCCTTATAAGTTTTACGGTTATATAGGTACTATCTCCAGTTTTTTTAATATACTTAGCATTGATCTAGTCATACTGTGTTCCCAGAATACTCTTCTAGTTTGAATATCAAATATAATAAAAAAGTCTACCTAGCAGAGAAGTTTGATCTCTACCAAAACTATACAAAGTAGTTCGCTTCTCAGTTTTACACTCTTGGTACTTCATTAACAACACATCTACTTGTATAGAACTAAGTATATTATCACTCTTTGATATCTTCTATAACCTGACCATAGTTTGGTGTTTTAAAATTGTTAACTAGAGGATTGTTAGAAAGAGTTGTTGTTTACTTTTATTAATAATAATAATATTATTATTATTATTACCAAAGGACAAAATTAAAGTATTAATAGAAAGAGTAAGCTATTTGACCAAAAGACTAATCTAACTAAAAAATAAGTTAACCAATCATGGAATGTAAGGCAAAAGCTGATTCTGGCTATAACAAAAAAATTACCAGAATATTGTCACCATTTTGATATAATTAAAAAAATTTTAAAACAACATTATAAAACACAACATCGAACAGCAATAATAAATGCTAATCCAAACTTAAAGATTTATAATTATGCTAAAATAAGGAAAAATAGTAAGATGAATGAGTTAAGTATAATAAAATTTGTCATATAAATTATTTTTTAAATCAATTCTAGAATTACTTGACTAACAAATCATTTACCTAATATATCGATAAGAGATTACTAATATATTAGATAAATAATATGTTATTTAACTTACAAATCATTTACCTAATATATCAATAATCTTTTACTGATTTATCAGGTAAATAATTTGTAAATAAAATATAATAATTTAAATTACTATATTATAGAAGAGGAAAAGGAGACAAAAAGTATTAATATATTTAATAAAGTCAGAAAATAAAAGTTTTAGAAAATATATACAGGAAAACTTAAAGATCATAACAATAAGCAAAGAAGTAAATGCATATCATATTGATGAAAAGTAGAAGATAGATGAAGATAAGTCAAAGGATAGTGAAAAGGTTAAGAAGTTAGTTTGTATTAACAAATGATAGTGAGGTCCTAATGTAAGTAAATATTTTACTAGTGCTAAAAAAATAATGTTAATCAATTTTTTTTTTAATATTAAAATAACCACTTAGAGGTCTGATATATTTTATTAACTTATGGTTCAAATGCTAAAGTAATTACTATATGAGCATTCTGACTTTGTTATATTAACAAAAATATTACTATCCTAATTAACTTAGCATCATCAGATATTCTTCCCAAAGAGGAATAACTATAAAAGCTCCTTAGGACTTGAAAGCAGACATATATTATTATATAGAGGGTCTTTTATCCTTGTGATAAACCTACTAGAGTGGTTCATATTCTACATATGTATTATCTAGATTTTTGATACTTATATCTAGACCACAGCCAAGTATTTGTAGCTTTTTACCTCTGCTATTATTACCTACTCCTTGCTTTTGCAAAGTTCACCCAAATCTCAGCACCCACTTTACTATCAACAGTACTTCAATACCAACTGTTAGTGCTTTAAACTTCCAATCCAGATAGCCTGAGAAGAACTAGTGAGTATTCTCTAATATAGTGTTTGAAAAAGTTAAATCAGATTAGATTCAGATTTTGTCAGATCCTAATCGTCAGATTAATTTTGGCTCTAAAAATTCAGATTAGGCTGAATTGAACAGAATTAGATCTAATTTTAGGTCATTTCTTTGTCTAATTACTGTGTATGATAAAATTGAATTTGTCACATGATAAATTCGAATATGTCACAATTTAAATCACAATTTAAGTAATATATTTGAATTTATTATATATATTATGACATAATTTATGTATCAAATTTTGGCTCAACCGTCAGATTGACACAAATCACTTACAAATTAATCTGAATTTGAATTTGGATCAGATTTGTATTAATCCCAGATTAACTAAGATTTTTAATCCAATTTCGAATACTATCCTGATATTTCAAATGAATTCTTTTTTCTCTAATTATCTAGTGGCCTAGTTGGTGTAGTGCTTACTAAACACTTGATCCTTATTTAGTTTGCCTTTAGTGTCTGATTCCCCAGATGATAATCTTTTATATAGTGTTGTTAAAGATCTATACTACCTTTCTACTCAGAACTTCCTAAGCAGACCTGCTTCACCCAAGATTCATATAACTTATATATTAAACTATATTCCACAACTTTCTAATATGAGTTGGTAAAACCAAAATTATAAATGCTGACCCAATCACAGTCTGCCATAACATATTTTTTGCAATTCAAATTTCGTTGCTAGTGGGATTCGAACTCATGTTCTGCCACTTGTAGTGTGACAACTTACCAACTTTACTAAGTTACTACACTCTTTATATTTAATTAATTTTTTTTTTTATTTATTTATTTTTTTTTATTAATATAATGCTATAGTAAAAACTTTATTACTAATAGAAAAATAATTCTAAACTTAAAGATTTTTAACTATATTTGTATTACATAAGGCATCTAATATGACATTACACCCCCTATTTCCTATGAAATGCTATCCCTTAAACTGTATTCCAGGCAAATTTGCCTGGAAAATTTAATTATATTTAGTATTTTTTAAATAAAATAATAA